CAATAGAAAACCAACATAGCTGACCATTGCTTTCATAGCTGAAGAGGCCTCACGAGGTGTCACCAACAGAGCAAGCCTGTGACAAGATTCAATACCTTTCTTTCCTGACGACAAAGCTCAACAACTTAAGTGGGGGGACTTGCTACTCCATAAAGACAGCCACAGAGACCCATCGCCGGGGTCACACTTTGGAGCAGAAACTTGAACACTTCCCACGGTGATCAGGAGCAAGCCTTGGGATCAAGGTCTGGCTTCCGTGTTGGAGGGATGGAGCCGTCTGGGGCAACAGCCTCCCCTATACAAACCTCACTTAAGGTTTACATCCTGTACAACACCGTGCTACAGTCTGATACCAAAGGTACAGCTCCCCTGGGAACTCAGTCAGGTGCCAGGAGCAGGGTTGGGGGGAGGGTGTCTCACTGCAGACATGGCCCCTAGCCTTTGACAGATACCAGAACTGGCAACTTGAGGCCGGTGCTCTGAACCTCACACGATCAAACCCCACAAAACTTCACTGGGTGGCTGAGGCCAAGGCATGCCCTGAGAGTGTTTTCTTGGTAATGATCTCTGTTTGAATAGTGTGAGACCCTGACTCCTGGTCCACACGGTCCCTTCTGTTGGGTGGTCTCAGAGCCTGTGCACATGCTCAGAGGGCCACCTTGTCTTTGGGGGGGGGGAGGGGACCAAAGAACAGACTTTGCAGGGAGATGTAGCTGCATAGTCTCCACAGCAGCCCTACCATGCCAAACTGGCCCACGCCCTACTCGATGCTCCTTGAGGTCCAGGGCATCTTCCTGAGGCTCTTGCCCAGTCACAGCAGTGTCTGGGTGGGGGGCAATGACAGAGACTCTCAGCACAGCAGGGACACCTCCTGCCCTCCCTTAGGAATAGCAGCTCTGGTTCCAGCCTCCTACCACGAAGGCCACAAAGGCAGCCTGAAGGGTTAGAAGCAAAGCCAATCCACTGCTGGTGGGTATCAGCATGCTTGCCCCCCAGATATCTTACACTAGCCAATCTGCCCATCAGCTTCAGGGCTTTACCTTTTGACAAGAGCTTGCCAGGCCCCGGTAAGTGGACGGCCCTAACTATGTCTGCCCAGGGCCTGGCCCCTGCGGACCAAAAGGAGAGCTCCCAGTGGTAGGGAGACTTTAGACTCTGGGATGAGACTTCCTTTGTGTTGAAATGCCTTTTTGATCAGTGGCCAAGAGCCAAGCACAGCCAGGCCAGCAGTCTCTGCCCAGATGGTACCCCGCAGGGGCTCAGGATGACATGACATGCCCCCAGGAGCCAGTCCTCAGCCTGAGCCCCTGACTGTACCATGCCAGGGGTGAACTTCAAGGGTTTCTCCCTAAGGAAGCGCCTCCACAGTGGGACACCCTTGAGGCTGCACAGTTCCTTGCGGCATCTCTGGCTATTAGAACAGGAAGGATGCTGGGGCTGCTCTGCCTGTCTGGGGTTAGGGTTTTAGGCACCCGCGTTACCTGTTTGGCAGGGAAGTTCTGGACACACGATCTGGGGGTCTAGAAGAGAGAAAAGAGACAAGGTCTCTGTGAGTTCCTGCTGGACCCTCCGTGGTCACCTACTAGCTCGATGGGGCTAAAGGTTCTAGTCTCACCACTCACCTGGGCAAAGGACATCTTCCATGTCATCGATGAACTTCTCAGCCACCAGGTCAGAGAAGAGCGTCATGTTACGCACTTGCTGCGGCTTGTCACAGGCAATGGAGTAGAGGTTCTCGCTCTCATGTGTCTCATGGAACATGTCGCCGATGCCGATGGCTGTCACAGTGACGTCTCGGTCACACAGTGCCCGGAGGTTGAGGTCGTCGTCTCGGGGGTCATGGCGCCCATCTGTGATGACCACTGCGAACACCCGGGTCTTCTGGCGCCTGCTCTCCTTGATGAGCTGATTGTAGGCAAACTTGAGGGCAGAGGGCGTCCACGTGCCACCAGCAATCCACTCAAGGTTTTTGACGGCCTCCTTGAAACTGGACAGGGAGTTGACTCGCTCGTCGTCCAGCCGGATGGCCTCGAAAGTGCCTTCGTGGCTGTACTGCACCACACCCACACGCGTGCCTATGAGGGGACAACCGTGCGAACAGTGTCTACCGGCCTGCTTTGTCACCTCGGTGACTGGCTCAGCCACCTTGAATGAAATCATGGGCAAAGGCATGATCCTGGCTAGAGGTAGGGGTATGGCTTCTGCCCCAGGGCCCTTCATGGCCTCCACTGACCTGTCTCAGACTTGGGGTCCTTGGCAATGGCACCCAGCCTGTTGACCACATTGATGACGAAGTTCTTCTCCAGGGTGAAGTTGGTGTAGCCAATACTCTCAGAGCTGTCGATGACGAAGACCACATCCAGAGCACCACAACGCTTCTCACAGTCTGGAAGTGTGTATGGGATGACAGGGTGAGTGGGTAGAGAGTGTGAAGGGGTACGGGGCCAGGGACAGCGTGCGTGATCCTGCCCCCATACACCCCATCCCTCCCAAAGCGTGCACACATCCTAATACACTGGGCCAACTCACCGCAGCATCCACAGGTCTCTCTCACATAGGTCATGACGTCACATTCCTGCAACACAGCCCCAGTTGGGTGCATTTAGACAGGTAACACCTACTGTTGCCTGAGGGCTTCCATTAGAGTCCTTAACCCCATGTCTGCTGGGGTCCATGCTCACATGTGGAGTAGAGCTACACATATTCCAACTTTGCCCTCTGACCTTACCCATGCCACCTCCACCCAGTGACCCCAATCCTATGGACTTGTCCTTGCAAGCCTGACCACTGCTGATTTTGCCCTCTAAACTTACTCCTGTCAACCTTGATTCATCTTCTGACTTGGTCTCTGCCAACTTCACACCTGTTGACTTTGACCTCTGACCCTATGCCTGCTAACTTTGCCCTCTGAGCTCCTCCCCTGGCTTCGCTCGTTAACCCCTTATACCGGATGCTCCCGGTTCTCGCTCTTTAGAAGAGAGAAGGACACTTATAAACAAGGATACTGATTCCATACTGGGCGACACCTACCGTGAGACCAGGGTCTCCTGGTGGGCCGGGTTCTCCCTGGAGGCAAAAGATAACAGTGAGAGGTGAGACTGTTGGGTCCAAGTTGCTTCTGGTACCACCACCCAGTGTTTACTGACCCATGGGCCCACTAAGGTCAGAACCAGGACGCTCTGTGTACATCAGCCTGGCTGGCTCAGGAGCTATGGGCCGAAGGGATAGAGGTAGCTTACCTCAGGTCCTGGGACTCCTCTTGGCCCCCGAGGGCCAGGTTCACCAGGGGGACCAGGATCAGCCTGAGGAGGAACAGGGAAGTAGGCTCAGTGTAGCCCTGGGATGTCTCTGCCCCATAGGAGTATTGATGCCCCTGTCAATGGCCTCTGCTGGGAGTACAGTGGGCATGAAGGACTGCATCACCCACTTCACCCTGAGTCTGACACCACCATAACAATGTCCTGAACAGCCACTACCAGAGCCTGGTAGGCAAGAGAGAGTAGAAGGCCACTGGGAAACTCAAGGGTAGTAGTGATGGGATAATTCACTCTGATACTAGTCACTCTATGTGCCCCAATCTACCTACCCACCTGTCCATTACCTGTCCACCCACCGACCATCCCTCCACTGAACTGCCAACCCCACCCATCTGCCCACCCACCATCATCTGCCATCCGTCCTTATGTGCGCTGTCTTGCCCTTACTGTTCTTCATGCACCCACATGATGCTGGATACCCAGTAGTTCTAGGGACATGGAAGTGAAGGTGATATGGTCCAGGCCAGTGAACCAATAGGAGGTGCTGGCTGAGGATGGGGTGAAGAACAGAGGAGGCCTCAGAGCCTGACCATTCCCTTCAAGGGCTGGGTGCCAGGCAGGCTGGGTGTTTTCTCGGGTATCCTAAGCCCTCCTCATGCGCTAGCCAGCTGCCCTGGGCATAGGACGGTGACACTCACTGGCTCGCCCTTGTCTCCCTTCCTTCCGGGTGCGCCTTTCAGACCAAAGTCTCCTCGGCCTCCCTGTAACACAGAGCATGTGTTAGTTGTGGGCACTGGGTGGCATACACACTCCCACTGCACACTACAAGACCTTCCACCGACTTCCAGGAACTCAGAGGTGGCACAGGAGCCGTGTGCATAGTTCAGCGTCTGTTAAGGATGCTGGGCATTTTCAGGGAAGCCCCGAGCTTTGTTTGGAAAAGGACACGACACAGGAGCTACCACCAGTTAAAGCCCAGCCAGGGCCCATGTGGCCTGGGCAAGGTCCCAGGTCCCAGGTCCCAGGGCAAGGGCATGACCAAAAGATGGTTCTCATAGCAGATGTGGCATGCAGGACTTCCACAAACCCACCAGGAAAAGGCTAATTGGGACAAGACCCCCAAGTACCTCAGGGCCTGGTGGGCCAGCCTCTCCTTTTTCGCCCTGTGAAGAAAACAAAGGTCTGACAGGTTGCTCAGCCACAGACCCCCAAGTCTAACTGCAGAAAGAGAAGCTCACCATCCCTTGGAGCTGAGATCACCCCTTATGATTTCTTGGATATCAGAATCCAAGGTCTGATCCAATCCCCATCTAAGGTAAAGGCCACACATGCTGAGCCATGCTGACCCAACCCTGGGCTATGTCTGACCACTGGTGTCTCCTGGTGCTGGCTGGATCTGCCTTTGCACCAAGGGGCAGGTGGCCTCCGTTCCCTCCCTCTTCCTAGTCCCACGCTGAGGGAACCACAGAAGCCTTGGGGCCCAGCCCACAGGGTTTTCCTGGGAGTTCTTGTTCCATGCCATGACTCACGGGTGTCCCTCGGGGTCCTGGGTAGCTGAATCCAGGCCTTCCAGGATCTCCCTGAAGGGGAAGGTTGAGTTAGTTGGAATGACTGGTGAGGAGGCCGTGTCCAAACAGTGCAGATGAGGACCAGGATATCTTGCGTAGGATGGGAAGAGAGGCTGTGAGCCTAGCCTTGCTTGTCCACCTCTGGACTGGAGTGTGTGCAGTTGATGTGCCAGATAACTCAGGGGCCGTGGCACATACTAGAGAGGCCACTGAGACCATGCAGTACCCATATGGCTGTCCATCCCTCAGGACGCTGCCATCTTTCCAGGTAGTTCACTGCTGGGTAGGGCAGAAGACAGGCTGCATGGTCTCCTAGTACTCTCCATGCCTTGGCCAGTCTCACTAGGAGCTGGGAACAGGAGGCTCAATGGAGGCCACTCTCCTGCTCCAGGGCTCCAAGCTTCTCTTGCAACCTTCTTGTTGGGTACCTCCATAGCACAACTGCGTTGGACCCCATCCCATATTGCCAGGAGGAAGGGACATACCTTGGGGCCTGGCTGTCCTGAATCTCCACGAGGTCCAGCATCACCGGGGTCTCCCCGAGATCCCTGAGGGCAGGAGAGGAGTCAGAGGTGGCCTTGTCACCTGAAGTGGTGATGACCTAACCTGCTTTGACCAGCTCGGAGAAGATGGCGGGTCTTGGCACCACAGGGCTGCCACCTGGCCTGGGGCCAGGGGTTGGGATGGTGGTGAGTAGGTAAGGGAGGGTTTGTAGAGAAGGAGGGGGGTAGGTAGGGGGCCTGGGGCAGAGTGGGGGTTTACAGAACAGGGTTGGGAGTGGGAAGGACTTTGGGGGTGGGTGGGGAGTGGGTGGAGTGTTGGAGAAAGGATGGGGAGATCAAGGGGCAGAGTGGGGAGTTGATGGGGGTAAGGGGCAGGGTGGGGAGTGGATGGGGGTAAGGGGCAGGGTGGGGAGCTGATGAAGGGTTAGGGGAAGGGTAGAGAGTAGGGAATCCTGGGACAAGATGGGGAACAGGGGGAGGGTTGGAGGGCAGGGTGGAGAACAGTTAGGGATCGAGAACAGGGTTGGGAGTGGGTGGGAGTCTGGGAGCAGGATGCTGTCACGGTCTCTGGGCTTCGAGTGCCCTGCTACCAACCTGCTTTCCTGGCTCCCCAAGAGCCCCCTGGGGGCCTCTGGGTCCAGGCAAACCTCTGTCTCCCTGTAAAGAAATGAGATGAGTTTCAGATGGTGAGGTACTGTGGTCTAACGGTACACCCGCAGAGTCCTGACGTCAGCCCTGTTACGTTCAGATGGTGAGGTCAAGCTGCACTGGACCCACTGCCCAGGAGTGGTCTTGCCTTGGCTGGGTCCATGAGAAGGTTAAGTGAGGCAGGTTATTGGGCACAGTCTCCTCCACCCTGGC